GACCTGATCAGGTTTTGCGAAGGGAGTTAGATTTCCAGGTCCGCACTCTGCCAAACGGTTCCGTGGAAAGTTATTTATTGCGATTGATTCTGAGTTACAGTGATGTATTAAGGTTACATAAAAAATAGGAAAAACGTTTGAAGTTTCCAATCACTCACTTTTTTATTATATTTTGTGACATCTAGGTGGTTCTTCAAATATTCCTGAGCAGGAAAAGTCACAATCACAAAGTAATCAGAACTGTTGTTTGAATTTTATTGAACTAAATGTGTATGTATGTGTTCGCCTTTTTATGTCATTAGAAATAACAATACTGGTGCTCCTAGCAATTTTGAATCAGCGTTAAAATATATAAAATGTTTAACTATTTTCTTTTCTCTGTTACAGGTATGAACAATGTTGAAAATAGTGACATGACCAAAACTACAGCTGTGAGTGAAATTGTCTTTAAATATCTATAATTTTGTTGTTTTCTTGGAAAACATTTAGGTTCCTAATGAAATATTTATTGGCTTTAAATAATACTGATTACATCCCTGCTCATTATTTGTGAGTTGCAACTTTTGTTTTCAAAGTTTGGTAGACGTCGAGCGATTATATTGTAACAAATTTTGAACTTTTGCCATCCACGTCAAGGCTCCCCTTTTTATTTGACGGGTAATGGTGAATTTTTAATTTACTTCCGTCTACGTTAATGAAGAAAAAATATTATAGCATCACGAAATTGGTCTCATGGCAAATGATGGATGAATTATTTATTTAATTTGTACGGAACTCTTCGCTGGGGGTCGCGTGTTCGAAATCCTCTCGTGTAAATTTTCGTTAAAACATTTAGTAACATTCATGGTTACTCTTAAAGTCACGGCATCTAAAAACATTTTAGCATGCTCAAAAGTATGTAATTTTTGCAATAAAAATTCCTACCAAATCAAGGGATTTCTAAATATCAAAGACAAAATCGTGTCACATGCGTATACCGGTTACGACCACTCGACATAGATTTTCTCTTGACCAGTATGTCAAAATACCTACTTCACTTTTTTTTATACATACCATACGATAAGAGACATCTTATGTCTTCTCACGCGCTGCGAAAAACCTAAGTAGATGCGTAAAATGTGTTCCTAGGTTCAGATATTTTTCAGTGCATTTTGAGTGATTTATTTTTATAAAAAATTTATAATCTTTGAGGCGGTGATCAAACATAAATATTATACTTGTATTTAATTCATTCATCACTGATTACGCCCCTGCATTATTTAGAACTTCCACCTTCAGTTGCCGGAATTCGGCAGACGTCGAGGTATTGTGCTCCTACTTCAAACAAAATGTAACTTTTACAATACACGCCACGGCAGAGCTGCAGACCCACCTTTCATTTGACAGGAGGAAAATTTTAATTCACTCCCCGTGGTAATATTGTTACGGAGGTTATTTTTGAGTTATTTATTGGGGAAATATTTAGGTTGCGACTTTATTTACTGTTTAAACAGGGCGGCGGTTTTTATAGAAGCAAGATTGAGGGAATAATAATACGCGCTTTGACGTACTTCGAAAACCCTTTCTTTTAATGGGTACAAAAGATTCCAAGTTGAAAAGTATAAGTTGTTTTTGTCTTACTTCTCAAATTTACTTTCTGAATACATCAGTAAAAGATCAGGAAGGCAATGTTCCTAATTATTGTTTCGCCAAGATTATTGCAGAAGAACAAACTTTTGTGTGTAATGTAATATTTTCTTGGCATGATGTGCTCATGACATATGACATTACCAATCCATACGATTTGATACCTGCGAAGTCTCTCTACCGCGCACATCATAATCATAATTATAAGCGAACAATGGACGTGTTTTTCTTAAATACCACTCTGCTACGGGTTTTCGAATTCCGCCCGGGGATCGCCAATCGGTCGTGAGCGGCGGAGCATACGATTTTCAATCAACGAAAACTTTATTAACTCGCCCAACTGGTCGTGCAGTACGATGACACGGATTCTGAAAAATACGACGTCCAACTGTCATACTTTGTAAACTCTGCGGTGCAATTTTGTAAGAAAGCTAAATTAGATTTAGAATAACTTCTGTCTACAAAATAGTACCTAGGTAGGGTCTTTTAGCTCTTTTCTTCTGAATCATTATAGGTCTTGAAAGCAGAAAAATTAGAAGTACATAGCGTTGTTATTTCAGAATTTAGGGGAAGAAAACACATTTAATATTATATTATGATATTTTAATAAATTGAATGTACTATTATCTATTATAAGGATTAGTTAAAGACACGATTATTTTTATAATATTGAGACTACTACATACTAAAAATATTTTTTCATAACGGTGATAAACAGGTTGTATAGCCGCTTTCACTACAAAGCATAGCGGTGGAGATAGAATATGGTATTTACCTACTATATATTTATAACAATGAGACCTATATCCAATACAAAACAATCATTTGCCTACATTCGTATCCACTCAATACCCTTATGAAACTCAGCCCCCTTCAGGATTTGTCCTGACTCCCCTATTTTCATAGACCAGTGTAGACGTTGGCCTCCCAATTCAGAACACAAAACAACAATTCGTAGTTTAGCAAGAGTTGAACTGACTTAACAGTACCGTAACACTGTATCTTTCCGTGGCGGTACTGAGTTATCCAACGACTCAGTGAACCCTGGTGTCAAAGTTTTTCAACCGCTTACTACAAGTAGCAGGCCCAAGTAGCATAGAAACGTTTATCTTCAGAGCTGTTAAGAGGTAGACTTTTTTCTTCAAAAGTTGAATAAAATAGGATCGGGTAATCTCTAAACCAATACAAAAAGGAGCGTCAAAATAAGTATGAAATAATTTATGATTCATATGTATCAAGCACAAACAAAAGGGACTGAGAATGTTACACATCCAATTGATAGACTACTTCTTGAAGTCGCAAATATATCAAAATTTCATGCCACTACCTATTAATAGCAAAAGTCATAGATCCGAAGCCTCCTAGCTGCATGAAAACTTCTGAGTTTCCTTTAGTTTATGTTTCTCTTGGTAGAGGTCAGGTCTGGTTGGTTGTTTTTGGTCCTATAAACAGTGAGTTGGCAGCAAGCCAAGGTCCAAGGACAAGGTTGTGGGAACACTGACGGCAGTTATGTAACCTTCAGGATTAGATTCAGATATTAGGATTAGATAGCGCAAGATATATGCCAAGTTAGATACATGCCCTGTGGTTAGCCTGGCCTGCCCCGAAGCAGTGCCTTTATTTTTATTTAAGTATCGCGACTGAGCCGCGTTTAAACTAGGAACGAAGGTCTGAAAGAGAAAATTGTGTCTGATAATTTTCTTTTTTGGAGATGATTATCGAATTCTGTATAATGTTATGACTATCAATTGGTAGTAAAGTATTTATCCTAAATTATATATATTTTTGATATTTGATACTTGTTATTTTGCACCTGCGGAGCGTCTGTTAACAGTGCAAACTTTACTTCACTGCGCCATTAGTCCTCTCGTGACCACGATTAGGAAAACCTGTTGGAAACGTTGAGAAAAAAATTTGATCTGAATGAAAATTTTAGCATATTTATTTAGACGCGCGTAGACCGAAGACAAAAATCGTTAAGTGTGCAAAGCGCAATATCTTATACGAAAATACATTTCACTTTTTATTGAGTTTATCTAACTTATTGTTGACTACAAGTATTTGTTTACAAATCACACTGTGTTTACTAAGCTCCTTCTATTTGAAAATATTTGATCTCAGCCCAAAGTACAAAAAAAAAACATCGAAGCAGTTTCGAGGATTCAGACGTTTGAAGTTTTTTTTATTGTTATTGTAAGTCTCAAAAGAACATTATTTAGGTATCTAGATTTACGAAGGAATTGCAATAAATCAGTTTCATAATATTTTACTTTTGCAGTACACTTTGGTGTTTTCAAGTAGGTATTTATTTTTAATCTTTTGTGGGGTATAGATATACCCTACGGGTTGAATAGGGGTGATGCTATTCTAAGCTGACATTATACGACAAATGTCTAGCTAGTCGCTTCTTCTTCTTCTTCTTCTTTTCGTGTGGGACACCGAGTCGTTCAACGACCCGATGAACCCTGGTCTCAGAGTTATTCAACCGCCTACTGCAAGTAGCAGGCCTCTGACATGGTTGAGTAACGACCGCCAACATAGACAGCAACCGGGACCGACGGCTTAACGTGCCCATCCGAAGCACGGAACCATCTTACTTGCGGACAATCAGGTGGTTCAGCCTGCAATGTCCTAACCAGACTGGGAACAAATTCACAAAGTGATAAATATCAACTTTGTGAGTGACCCCACCGGGAATTGAACCCGGAACCTTTGCGTGGCAGGCAGGCATACTAACCACTGCGCCACATCGGCTGTCAAGCCAGCTAGTCGCTGACTGCATCCGATATTATATCTCAAGGATTAACAATTTTTTCAAGGGTTTCGCGCGGATTTTGGGCTTAGATTTTCCCTAAACATAAACCTAAAATCCTAGTCATGACATGACATGAAGTTTGATCTAGGTTAATCCTAGGTGTAGGTAAACCTAGATCAAGGTTGACCTATGTCAAAAGGGTTTTCCCCTTCACTTGGCGTTTGACATTGTCTATCGGTCTTGGAAAGTGTGAACGACCCAATGGTAAAGAATTAGCCGCTGGGAATTATTTGGAAAACTATATAGGTAGATGGATCCCTTCCACGCGTTAGTGGCCAAAATATTGGGTGAAATTTTACTAGTGACCGATAGCGAAAACTCAGAACCGGCTGGTGATAAGGAACAACTTTCCCCAAGGAACATAGGTCGAAATACGAAAAAAAAAATTTGACCTTCCATAGTAACTCTAATCAACTGATCGGCACTTTTGTATGGGAGGTCCTAAATTTTTTCGACCTATGTTCCTTGGGGAATGTTGTTCCTTATCACCGACCGGTTCTGAGATTTCGCTATCGGTCACTAGTAAAATTTTATCCCATATAGGCTACGATAGAATAGAACCGCGGTAGCCCAGTTGGTAGGGACGTCGGCAGTATAGATACTGAAAGTCGTAGCTTGAAATCCTGTCTGCGGTGGAAAATTTTGCATGTTTTCCAAAAATTGTGGACCTGACACAGGAAGTGTTTTAAAACTTGTTATCGTACTAGGTAGGTGCTTACGAGTAAAGATGATTTTTTTTTAAATATCACTTAATAACAGCCAAGTGCATGTGCGATTCAACTTATTTAGAGGAACAAAATAAAGATTTCAGTGAAAAATATTAGCCATTTCGCAAATATACGCCATTTTACTACGGTATTCATCCAGCACCCCTTTTTCCCCTACAATTTCCTTTTTCAGCGATGACAAAATAGGAAATGTATGTAATTTTTCCTCACAAAAACTGAGTGCCTATATGTTGCCTACTCTGTGTAATGCGATTAATGTCTCTGATATTTTAGGTGGAGTACGAGTAGGGTAAAAGAAAAGTAGTATGTTGGAAAACAAAATACGTAGCGTACGTTTACGTATATGTTTTAATGTATTAATAATTTTGCATGCCATAAACTGGCACATCACGCATGTACTTAAATAATATAAGTGATATAAATACTTATTGTTGTTAAGATCTTTTAAAGCCGTGTGGTGCCGGCAGACTAGAATAGCACCTCCCCCTCTCTTCCCGTGGGTCGTAAGAGGCGACCGAGGGATAAACCTGACTCAAACAGCCAGGATCAACCGTATGGTGGCGGTTAATCCACCACAAAAGCATTCCCAAGGAGGGTTGATGTCTGGTAGGCGGCTGGTCGTAAAATTAAGCCAAATCCTTTGCAACACGATTTTGTGTTCAACAAAACGTGTTGCGCCGACCCCAAGTTATTGGGATAAGGGCAGGAAGATGATGATGTTGTTAAGATCTTTTATACCGTGTATGCAAGCTTATAAAATATTTCTATTTCTATTTCGTATTATTTTTTTGTTAATAGTAAATGCAGGCAGCTGATTATGATTTGGTATGGAAGGTCAATATTTTTTTACATCTTCTAAAATTTCTATTGGGTAGTTGTTCAGGTTCATGATCTGAATATACTCTATCAGTATTCGGTGAGCTACTCTTTACTCTGTATAATAATAATTATTATTTCTTTATTGCGACTAAAAAGGTCCATAAGTACATACCACAGTCAATAACTACAAACATATTTTGTGCTACGTATTTTGTTGTTAATATTTTAACGAAATCAGAAAAACAGTTAAATTCTCATATAAACATTTCTGTTGCCCGAGTCATTTTGCAAGGAAAGGATATTTTCATTTCCAGAGAAGGTACAAAACCTACTATGAATAAAAGTAAAAACTGCCCTAAAATTTGTACAGCAATTTCCCTAATACAGTGTATCAAAAATTTCCAAAATCTCACTTCTCAAGTATTTTGTAACATTTCGGTACTGTCTTAGGCAAAACGCGTCGTTCCTTACAGAAATAATTAAATGTGTCTACAGACATACTGAATAACTTTTATTATGTAACAGAATAAGGGCAAGTTGGCATAGCGCCGAGATTTTCAAGGTTATACATACGTGCAGTGATTTACTGTTATACATTAGGTACCTACAGATCTTAGAGTATATAGGATGGACCATAGAGTGACGTCAATAAAAATAAATTAGATTCCTCACATCTTGGGGTATTCGAAAATACCCCATATATGTTCAGCGATTATTTTTAGTTTCCGAGTTATTGAACTTTTAAAGTTGTATGGAAAAAACTCGAATGGCAGACATTTTTTCTTTTTTTGTACGCTAAAAAGTACAAATCATAAAAATTGTGCTATTAAATCAACCCTGCGAAAATCCCTTATAAGGAAGTAAAAAAAGAAAAGGAAAAATTATTGCCAGTCGAATTTTCCCATACAACATTAAAAGTTCAATAACTCGGAAACTAAAAATAATCGCTGAACATACATGGGGTATTTTCGAATACCCCAAGATGTGAGGAATCTAATTTATTTTTATTGACGTCACTCTATGGTCCACCCTGTATAAGCAAGCTATAGAGCACGCATTAGGCCCCGCGGCGTACTGTCAGAGCGTAAGCAGTTGCAGACGTCAAATGTATGAGAAGTTATAGAGGTTCAGTAGTGCTGTCACTGTCGTTTTGCTACTGACAGACAGAGAGGTGGCGCCCAGCTCAATGTGGCCAGTTCTAACTTTTTAGGCGCACTCGATAGATAGAATCAGCCCAATCCAAGGCCAATCCTGCTTGTGGGTCTTAAATCCAAAATAAACACAACTTAACCGTATATAAAAGACTGGACATATGAAATAATGTAAACAAGATGTGTTCTCTTTAGGTACTTAAATCCGTTATAACTGATTAATTTATTACACCTAAACCAAATTAATAAACATACATTCGATGGCTTACATCCCTATGAACGTAATCTACTATTATTGGAATCAATGCAGCTATTTCAGAGCCCTCCATATTATTACCTACTACAAAAAGTGCTGAACTACAAGTGAGCACCCTTCAACTAAAAGTACTACAAAACAGTTGTTCGCACATAATACCTACTAGTAAGGTGGGAATCACACGTTTTAGCGCTGCGCATGTGATAGGAAGACGCGAATTGCCACCGTAGGTGCAAGCTACACAGTGGAGACGTGAGACGTAAGATGACATCTATCAGGCAAGTGGTCGTCAGCCGTCAACGATGCGACGCGCGACTCCCGTGTGTAGCCTGAGTCTTTTCTGTTTCATACATTTTATTTTTCAAACGTCGCGATATCGCACGTCTTAAGTCTCCGTTTTAAGTCTCATGTCTCATCTGTGGAGCTTGTGCCTTATTTTCCAGTAGTTTTACGTGTTCATGTTAAAAGTTTATGATATTTTCATATAAATATGGTTTATGTCAAACGGTTTGACAGACGCTTCTGTCGACGCAGCGTTCAGCGATACGCTGCGCCAGCGGATGCGGCTGTCAAAGCGTTTGATATAAACCGTATTTGTAGGAAAATAAGTTGGAAAATTCGCATTTTCCTAACGCATGTTATTCGCAACGTTAAACTGTTACGTGTGATTCCTGCCTAACTAATTCTTTCTAGCTTCGAGTAGCTTGTAACTTTGTATACGTTACTAGGAGCAAACTTTTTGAGTGGCAATCAGGTGCGATTTCCAAAGTTTGCTGAAAGCGGCTATACAATGTGACTATATTACGAAAGCTTAGTAACTTTGTCATACAGGGTGTAAGGGACAGCTCTCCGAATACTGATAGGGTACATTTGGGTCATTATTCAGATTTCGATTCTCCGCGTAAGCTGCGTGGCAAATTTTAATTTAAGCAATTTGAAGATGATGACAATGTAATATGATTCTGTATACTTTCACGATTATAGAACAGTTTGGTGCTCCTTGCTAGCGCAATTACTTTTCGAGAAATTTAATTTTAAAATTTTGTGTGCCACGCAGATTACAAATCAAGCCACGCAGATTACATAGCCAATTTTATCTTTGTATTTCCATTAGTTTTCTATAAGTTTTACTTGAAACATGATTATTCTTGACTTAAGTCTAGATTATAAGGTAAAGATGGAGTCTGAGATGGAGACAGGTCATGGAAAATAAGTCTTTATTCACTACTACCATAAAAAGATTATAAGCTTTTATGATTTTTGAATCAACAGATTTTGATTTTGGAATCAGCAGGTAATTAGTGCCTGTCTTTCAGTGTGCACAAGAGATAAATCAGGAACACTATGTCTCAATACAGTCGCTGGCATATTATCGGATCTACCTTACAGTTTTAACTTTTGGCCTCAAAATACACATCAAGCCTATGAGACAACGATCACTGGCATCGAAAAATTGCTGCGAGACATAGTTAGGTTGTTGAATAGAGCCCGTCCAGTATGTTTTGACAAAACATGCACTCATATCCATCAAAATTAGTAAAAATTCTTTGTCCATGTATAACGATATGAAAACTCAAAAACTTGATGATATTTGCCAAAAGAATTCTTTTCATGTGTTTTTTAATGGCTATTAGGTAAAATAATAGTATTTAAAATAACTCTTAGAACCAATGTGTAATCTGCGTGGGAAGAATTGTAAGCTGCGTGGGTATTTTGCCACGCAAATTACTCCACGCAGATTACAAAAACAGAGTATTTTTGATAATAACTCGGCCATCTTTTATTGAATCTAAATAAAATTATAGACCAATAGTCCCGACTATATTACAAATCAGCCTTGTAAAAGACGAATCTCTAAGAGTATTAATTCTAGAAGAAATTTGAATCCACGTAACTTACATGCAAGGGTCGTTAAACTTGTGTCAGCCCTTATTTTTGGAATTATTTTTAGTTCTGGGCACTGAGGTGCCCATTCACTCTGCTTGATTATTGAAGCATATCATAATAATTTGAGGAACAAAAACTCAGCTGGGTACGGTTATAATCTTAGAAGTTATGAGCGATTTTACCACGCTTGGGCTAACTGCCCAAAATCGTGTGACCGTTACATATTCGGGTTTATTTTTAAAATTACACGCATTACATATTTTCTTCATCATTCATCTAACAAATTGCTTTATGACGATTATTTTGATATACAATAGATACGTACAAAACATAAGGAAAGTAGTAAAATCATAATTTGTAAAAAGTTAGTGCGTGGTGTGACACGCGGAGAACACTGAAAATCCTCCCGTTTTCAACTTTCAGACTGGGTTTTGAAATACTAAGTGAATATAAAATAAGACTTTTTAATCGATTCCACATAGGTATTGGAATGATAAATCATGTCCAATCGATCGATATGTCCAAACTTGTATAGTTTAGCATTTACAACCCTGTGACCGAAATTTTCGACCCTTTGAAGAATGACCCATTTATAATATTAAACTGAACAACTTCCCGTTTACGTGTCCTGAAATATTTTCTTATAGGGAGTTGTTGAGTGTCTTGGTCTGAGTGCACCCTATTAGTTTTCGGAGAGTTATCGCTTTCACTCAATATTACGAAAGTTTAATAACTTTGTAGTATACTGGGTGAAATTTTACTAGTGACCGATAGCGAAAATGCAGGATGGGCTG